CGGAAATGCTTTCTTTTGGGAGTACGCCACCTCCATCATTTGCATCCAATCATGGATCATGGGTTAGCCTCTGTGGTCTAAGTATGGCAGGGTATTTCACAGGGTGATCTATAATTTAATAATAGCATTGCGCCGCTTGCCCGAATTGTAGGAACCAGTCTTGATACGAGGAAACTTCCAGTAGATTGCGGCGCAACAAAAACCGCCAGCCTCTTCAGGATGTAGCTGATTGGAAAATTGCTGAACGAATCGCGATGATGTGACTTCTGCTTAACCGAAGGACGAGTATGCTAATCAATAGAATATTCGTTTTGTAGCTGAGCTGACAAGCCTGATAGTTACTTGGTTGCTCTCAATATGTGTATGCAGGCTTTTTTATAATTTACATGTTCGTTTTTGAACATCTCTGAAAGCTACACTAATCCGGTTTGCACAGGTGAGTTCTCCTGACATGGAGACATAATATAGGGGAATAATCGTCAGGATGAGTAGGTTAATTAACTAAAATGTGTTAATTATTTGTATAATAATTAAAGGTTAAGATATAGTTTAAATCAAAAACTTTCTGAGCGTCAGCGAAGACCGCCAAATAAGTATATATGAGAATGATTTGGGAGCGTCTGAAGCGCGGTTGCACGTGCACGCTAAAGATATAAATCGTGTAACAATCGCTAAGCTAGTGGTGTGATAACCGCGTTTTTGCACCGTCGGCGTTGCGCCCATGCATGAGTGGTGAATTAGCGCACCACCGCTCTCTCCACGTTCTCTGAATTTCTCCTGATTTTACTAATTTACTGTTTTTCGATGGCGTTCAGCAGGATTCTCATTTAAACTGTATCCTTATATTCAATAATAATAATAATAACAAATAGTTAACAAATTTTTCATAAGTAACCTACTTATCGGGACGAATATCCCCCTATATTTGGTCTGCTTGTCCGCATAACTCGCACAGACCGCATTAGTGTAGCCTTCACGGCCACTTTACAACAAGTCTCCAAAGCAAAAAAAAAAAAAAAAAAGATTCGTAAATATTAGAGGCTTGCTTACACAGACACCTTTTGATTACGTTTTTTTTAGGTTACTTTATGAATCACGGGAATATTCGTGCTTCCAATGTTGCGTGTAATGTTGCTCCTTAAAATGGTTGCCATGCTTCGTACGAAGTACACATGTCTCGGCGACTCTCGTCGTAAATAGACGGAAGTGCTCGTAACATAACGTAACGTAAGAAAACGGGATTGTGTGTGAATCAGCCTTTACGCAACCCGTAAGGTGCAACACAGCGAGAGCTGGGGTGTGACTTTGGAGCCGCTAACGTGTCATTTCGGAGCAGATGGCCTGAATGAACGGTAAAGTTGCGAGCGCGCACCAAATAGAGTTCGCATAGGCGTTTCGTATTAAACCGAGTAACACACCGGACGAAAAGTCCATAGCGTTTTGGAACCAATGAAGGTGTATTAAGTAGAAAGTATTTCAGCTGTCTGCGTAAGAGGGGAGCGTGGATTCGTACATCACTTCGGTATAAATAGCCACAAGTGCTATACGAAAAGCGCCAAATAAGCGGGGACAAGGAAGTATCCAAGACGAAGAGTCTCAAATGAAGGCACACACTCTAAATAGCGTATTTGTTCCTATTTGTTGAGAAAATAAAACTCTGTATCTGTCAGGTGTACTGACGAGGCTTTCACGCACTTGCTTTCTCCTTTCGTTCTTATACAGAATGCTTAGTAAAATTTTAAGGCAGTTTTATTCGCGTATCTGCCGAGAATTGTATGCGTTAATTCTGGGTCACATGGACACATATCCCGATGGAGTATTGCCCGGCGGGGACTGTTTTACCGACCATGCATGTTATGTGGCTACTATGCATGACCATGCATGTTATCTTGCTTTGCTTGTCATCTCGTTATCAGAGGCCCGTGGAATGTTTTGGCGGTGTGCCGAAGATGGTTCGCGTCGATACAGAGTGCGCTCAACGTCGCGAATCCACGAAGTGTCCCACTAACAGGTATCGCTGTAACGCCGCTCTAAAAAAAATATTTTAGCCTTTTTACTTTGGTCAAGAAGGAAGACCAGCGGAGCTGTACAATGGAAAGTTATGGCCTACCCAAGTTGGCAAGCCAAGGTGGAAAGGCTGCCGCCATCTATGAGCGACGGCGGCAACCAGATAAGCGGTTTGCCGCCGTCACTCATATATGGCGGCAGTGATCCAGAGTTCGGTGTCTTTATTTCTTTGCGGGGTACACGATCCTGGGGAAGCTAGCTCTTAACAGCTCCGCTGCAAAAAAAGACACCCTGTTGTTGGAAAGAAATATTCTACCACTGTCCAAGAGCTTGTGAAATGTATTCTCGATGAACTCACATAAATTTGGCGCACCTACCTGCCAGCAAAGCACTGACGAACCGATCGCCGAATCTAAATAAAGCCGCTCGGTGAGTGACGGAACTGAAGTTATGTCTCGACAAACACAGAGTTTACAAAGAAGCAAGTGTTTGCCCACACCGGGTGTGGGTATTGCGCGTGCCCAGAACCCAGATTCGCCTGAAGCAACGCATATGTGCATGCGCAGCACCGAGATCAGCGCCATCGCAGTGGTGTGACGTCATAGAGTGGAGTTGGGCTATAGACCTAAAGAAAAAAAAAATGTCTGCTTCGTGGCACTGAGCATAGTGAAACGACAACCTAAATGTTTCATTGCAAGCGTTCTTTTTTTCGTTTTGTCTGAACGTATATTTATCCTCGTCGTCCACCGAGTTTCTCCATTGAACATGGTGAAAAATCGCGCACAAAGGGACAAGGGCAAAAGAGGAAGGAAAACAAAGTGCAGACGGTCGCGTACTCACAACAATGGTATATTAGGTAAAGAAAGAAGAGATGAAGCATGATTCATTCGTAGCAGGGGACACGCTGGGGGAATACAGTTCAGTCACAGCCAAATGATCGCAAAAAGGAAACTTTTTTTTCACTCAAAGCAACCGACGTCTAACGCAGCGATCGGCCAAACCCAAGATGGTAAACGCCTCGAGCACCTCGCGTGTTTGTTTTTCTTAGAACCACCCAATGATTAAAGTTTTTTCCCTAAATATGGTGAAGACGTAAAGCTCTTCCAATGTACCGAAATGTGACCTCCTAGAGTTGATGTTAAAGAAAAAAACTCAATCATTGAGCGGTTCAAAGAAAAACAAACACGCGAGGTGCTCGAGGCGTTTACCATTTTTGGTTTGGCCGATCGCCGCGTTAGCCAGCTCTCGTTTGCTTAGAGTGAATTAGAAGTTGCCTTTTTGCGATCATTTGGCTGTGAGTAAACGGTATCTCCCTGGTGCCGGTGTCCCCTGTGATGAATGAATATTGCTTCATCTTTTCTTGTTTCACCGGAAATACCAGACGTCTGAGCACACGCCTGTCTGTGTCCTCTGTTCCTTCCTCTTTAGTCCTTGCCTCTTCGTGCGCGATTTTTCATCATGTTCGACGTTTACCAAGTCGTCCAGCTTACCAGTTTACTCCCTCGATTGAATGCGGCGATTGGCTCTTCTAGGTTGTTTGCGGGCAAAGTAGACTCTGTTGATGTTTCAGAGCGCCGTATGCTTTCTATCAAAACAACCCCCTGCCCCCCCCCCCCCCATTTAAAAAAATAAAATAAAAGTAAATCTTACAATTCTATACTGTAGGATTTGACTCCAAATTGAAATTTGTGCAGTTCATTTATTTTACAATTGAAAACGATGAGTTGGAATTAATATCACAACTGATCGTTTTACTCCGGCTTATTTCAGCCTTGCTATTGGGTACAATATTGACGGATTTAAAGTGGGCATAAAAAAACACGCACTTAAGGACAGAATTTTAAGAAAAGTATATGACAGGGTTTCATCGAGCTGCCTCGTGCAATGGCATTTCGAGTCGGGCGGTTCGGTCCAACTCGGTGTATACAGTCACACGTCACCACATTGTGCTCACGTTTTAACACACATCACAAGTATATATAACTTGCGAAAAATATCGCAAGCAGCCTGTGTTAATATCTTAGGCCACTACAGATATAGTATGTGGTGGTTTTCCTCTGTCTCAGGGATCATGTAGCTCCTACACATGATCGCCGATGCAAGGCCATGTAAACATGATCGCTGATCCTACGTGAGCAGCGGTCATGTATACAAACGCGTAAAAAAAGCTGGCATTAATCACCTATCGGCCCTGGGGCGTACGTGCGTATCAAATATCATATTCGTTTTTTTAGTTTAATTAGTTCAGTGTCTAAGTTTTAGAGAGAGAGCGAGAGAAGGAAGGTACTAGGAAAAATACGATCGGGCTATTTTGTTGTTTTTTTACTATTATTTAGGATTCCACCTGCAATGGCAGGTACAAGAGGCGTTTATGTCTCACGGGGTCACCACTCCTATACAGTTGAAGTCGGAGAAACAATCTACAAGAATGGAATCAGCTAAATAAAGCCGTTGAGCACCAAGAGAGGCAAGAAGAAGCACAAAACTCAAAACAATATTAAGAACTATGTAATCAATTTTATAAACTACTTAATTGCAAAAAAAACAGAAAAAGTAAGGTTCAAACTTTAGCAGGTGTGCCATTATTCAAAAATTACATCTCCCAAGAGCATTACACCAAACGGATCGGACGACCACTCTCCGAAAAAAAGTTGGTACTTCATTCACACTTTTGTATATATTCGCACGTATATATTTGTAAGATCGGCACTGTAAAACTGCATTAATAAGCCCGCATATGTGTACTATAGCCAAGATATATGTACTATCCGGAACCAGTTTCCAAAATCCCGCCAACAAGTCGAGCCTCGTCTTACTCACCGGAATACATGCTACAAGCGGAGTGCAGTCAATAGAGATCTCTCAAACAAGAAAGAATTGCTTGTCTCGTTTTCTTTCGTGCGCAGTACGCGAATTCCCCAGCCCTCTCGCAGCCTCGCACCTTTCTGAAGGCGTGACAGCCCTTTCAAAAGCACTTGGATTCCTCTCTGGTGATGCGCTCTCGCTTGTCGCAGGTGACTGTCGTGAGCGCTCTGCTTCTGCTGGCTTCCGCCGACGACGGCAACGCAGAGGACACCCTGGACACGGAAGGCCACAGTTTCGGAGGCCTTGCTCAGGCGACAACTTTCAGGCAGGCCTCAGGGTCGGCTCCTGTCAATTTCCTGCAGTCGGCAACGAGCTACAGCGGAGCCTCCACCTACGGGCAGTCTGCCGGGCTTGTGAGTCGTGTTTTCGGCCTTCGAGCGAACTTATGAGGCCTTTTCTTTTTCCAGTGTACGATCTCTGTAGGCCCTATTTCTTTCTAAACAACAAATATTTTTTCCTGCTTTATTTTGAGAACAATTTCAGCATTTCATAATAAACAAAGAAACTATCCATACCTTTAAAAAGGACTTGTTGAGTGCACGCAGGAAGTGGCTACAATCACTTCACCTGAAGTGTTATTAAGCTGTAGAGGGCGTTCCACTTTTACAAATCTGTCCAAGTATACATAGAGTCACACCGAAATGCTATTAGGTTACCAGTGCTGTTACATGCTCACCACTGTATCTGGTTGCCCTTACAGTTGTTCGCTATTCAAAGAAAGTTACCTAAGTACATTGCGATTTTTTTAAAAATATATATTACGTCTAGGTGGGCTGCAATGGCTGACAAACCGTTTGATTTGCAAGGCGGAAAAGATGTCTGCACAGTTGAGTTTTTTTTAGCCTATAACTCACGGACGTGTTTCCGACTGTGACGAGCCGTAGCACTGATGTCAAGATTAAATGGTTCTGTATTTCATTATTTGTAAACATCGTATTCATAAGTTGCTGTAATAAACCAAGTTCCAGATTGCTCTAAGATTTAACTTAGTTACGGACGTATTTACCGAAATGAATTAACAACGTAGAAAATATTCTTGGACAGAAATTTTTACAAAATGCCACAATTAAAATACATTTATTTAGTTACACTGCTGCTTTGGCCATATATATCTTTGGCAGGTGTCGGGGCTGAGTAAGAACCTGCCTTTCAGGATACGCAACTCTTGCTACTATGCCACTTGCTCGACCTGGTCGTCATCATTTATTATTTGTCGTATGTGAAACACAAGTTACTGCAATAAATTCTACACCGTGATGCACTCAAAATGTCAATCATTCGTCTGCATTTGTCTTTCTTTAATCAGCTAGTACAACGATAAGGAGGTCCATATCGCTAATCAACTCTCAAGCAGAATGATTAGCAAAAAGACGTCCACTTATATTTTAGACAAAGAGACTGAATTCCCATTATATTCTTATACGGATAACCCTTCTGATTGGCTGGCCTTAGTAAAGGAAGGTCAGTGATCGGTATTTTGAGTGCATCGTGGAGCACTATACGCAGAAGCGTTTGAGAGTGCCCAATCGAGGCTAACTGGTTCCTGACCGATACCGCGTGAGCCACGAGTGGGCGGCCAGGGAGTAGCAATGACGTGGCGTGCCATTTTAAATTCCACTATTGAAATGTCGAGTTCGAAGTAAAGCCGTGAATTATTCATTTTTACAGCGCAGCTCTTAGGCACCCGTTTCCGTGTTTCGCGGCGTCGGCGTCGGAGTCGCCGTAGGCGTAACCGCCCCGCTAAATTTAGCGGGAACTTGAATTGGTGTTGAGGTCACATGACGTCAATTTTCCCGCTAAATCTAGCGCAGAAACTTAATATGTTCATGGGTGAGGTGACACGAAGTCATGTGACGTCATTTTCCTTGCTATATTTACCAGAGAAAATGAAGTCACATGACTTCGTGTCACGTGAGGTCATTTTCCCGCTGACCGAATTTGCGCTCCGCGAACTTTTGATGAGAGGAGCGGAAGAGGAGGAGAGGAGGAGAAAGGGAGGAGGAGAAGGAGGGGGAGGGGAAAGTGGGAGGGAGGAGGAGAAATGGAGGGGGCGGAGAGGGGTAGGGGGAAAAGAGGAGGAGGAGGAGAGGAGAGGAGAAGAGGAGGTGGATCAGGCGGAAAGGGGGGAGGAGAAGGAGGAGGAGGAGGAGGAGGGGCATACCTTTCCCTTCGCTCCTTCCCCTCCTACTCCTGAAGAGCTGCGCTCTAGTTTAACATTACAGACAATGGTAAACGTCTTTTATTTTAGAGCGCAGCTCTTAGGGGCCCGTTTCCAGCTTGAGCGGCGTCGGCGTCGGCGTAACCGGGGGGGGGGGGGGGGGTCACGTGACCCCCCCCCCCCCCCGAAATCACGTAACCCCCCCCCGAGGTCACGTGACCCCCCTCAGTATTCTTCCCTACTCCTCCTCAAGAGCTGCGCTCCAATTCGGCGTTACAGGGATTCGTAAACGGCTTTCATTTTTTACCCTCGTGGTCCCTGCACTTTAAGAATGCCTGACTCTCTACATTCACACTAAACGCTCTGAGAGCCAGTCACTTTAATACGCGGAGGAACCGGGCTGATGAGGCCGAAGTTATATGTTTAGTAGGGGCGGGCAAATAGCAGTTTGAATTGAATCGTACTTCGTCATTCATAGCCTTCACAGTGCTGTGAAAACGGATGCCATAAGGGCTCTTTTTGCGGTGGTAAAGTTTAGCGTTAAAATCTGCAGCGTTGAACTTTGCAGTTTCTGCAATGCGGAGCTCCAATCCGTCTTCCTCTTGCCCAGAGGTTGCGGTGACGTCATTACACGGAGCTGTGATTGACCCTGATTGAAAAAATAGGGGGTAGACCTCAAAGCGAGGTACCTTGAGTTTTACGCACTGTGCTTCCAATCAGAGTCAATGAGTGCTCGGCGTTCTGACGTCACCGCAACCCCTGCGCAGGAGGCAGACGGACTTGCGCTGCGCATACATCACAGGCGAAAGTGAAACCTCATGCTCAGTGCCCCATTTCCAACGAGGTAAAGGGCCTGAGAGCGATAAACTGGCAGCTGAAATCGACACCCAATTGGCCGCCGTTAGCTTGCACATTTTTGACCACTATACACGCGACATTAAAGCTTTAAGTCTAGATTTTAACGAAGTACCGCTCACGAATAATTGCTTATTGATCTTTAATAACAGTACCGACGAGACAAGTTATGTTTCGCTTGGTTTAAGTTTAACACGTGCTATTACGACAAAAACTCGGGCAGCTTCGCAATGCCTTCGCTAGATGCCGTCAGCCACGGTGCTGTATTTTGGGTTTTTTATCGAAGCAAGACACTGATCTCTGGGGCTAACAGTGTGGAGAAAAAATCATTGATCCTGTTTTTTACAACGATCGCAATACAAATCACGGGTCAGTATTGAATGAAAGCCTCGGGATTTGGTATGCTCACGTGTCTACTGGTCAAAATTGTACAACATGGCGGCAGCCAAGTAGGGATCACTTTTGGCTGGTGAACGGAATACCAGTTTATCGCTCTAAGCCCCCTACCCCATTGCCCCTTTCAGATCCGAAATTAGTTCTGAGAATATTTTCTGCTTCGTCATCTGCCGATTCCCTTTCATTGGTCGCAGTGATTAGATCTCTCAGTGTCCTGTGCGGAAGTAGAACATGGAAAACATTTTCTATACGCACTATAAGAAAGAAAAAAAAGCTAGGGCGTTTACTTTTCCCGCAAAACTCATGGCAAAGTCATAATGGGAATATTCTACGGAGCGGAGTGTCTACGAACGACAAAGATAAAAACTTAATCAAATTAAAAAAAAAAAAAAAAAAAAAAAAAAACGGGCTGTGCTGTGACAATGCACGTTATGTCTTATCCAGCTCAGTGCCAGAGTGCAGACTTCGTCTTAAGTCGACACATATTTTCACGTTCGTCATTCGCCGAGATCTCGTCATAGATTGCAGCGATTGGCTCTTTCAGGTGCTTTATCGGAAAGTAGACAAGTACACGCTCCCTATTTTTTAGAATGCAGACTTAATATTTTGGTCTAAACACATTTCTCTCCTCGTCCTTGTCCGAGTTATCCCCGCAAATTAAAGCGAATGGCTTTCAGAGAGCCCTCCAAAGAAGTATAGGCGCCGTGACATTGCTATATGCTACATCGAACAGATGCGACATATTCGGAAACCTCCGAGAGCGTATACGGTAATCGTTTCTTTTCTTCACTTCCCAGGACCGACCGCAACCTTTCGACTTCGGCTACAACGTGCAAGACGAGTTTGGCAACACGCAGTTCCGGCAAGAAAAAGGCGACGAGTCCGGCTCCGTGCAGGGCAGTTACGGCTACACTGACGCCCTCGGCGTATACCGTAAGGTTCACTACGTGGCCGACCAGAACGGCTTCCGCGCAGACATCAAGTCAAACGAGCCCGGTGTGAAGCAGGAGAACCCGGCAGACGTTCAGCTGGTCGTCGAACCTCCGCCGTCGGGCGTCCAGGCGGCGACCGCCTCTAGGTCCGGAGCTTTCCTTCATGGGGGCGGAGGAGGCCACCACGCCGCCGAAAGGCCCGCACGGCAGCGTTTTCCACCGGGGCTTCACGCTTAAAGGCCCAATGACGGCTTCGTAGCATAGATGAGCATAGATTGACAAAGTTTGTGGGTTGGGAGTCGACAGAGAGAATGATGAAAGCGGAGCTGTGCTCATTTTATAGCAATTTTTGTTGTATTCTACGTTTCATGTATCGCAACCGGAAAAAAACGTAACAGGAATGTTGGCGGTTCCGAATATCCGTGGCCGCCTGTTGAGATGCAGAGCTTTAACAGTAGATCCTTTGTACTGTCGCAGCTATTACGCGGGAAAAATAGAAGTCGGTGGTTAGTTTTTTTTTCTTTTTTCTTTTTTTTTCTCTTTTTAATCTTCGGCGGACCTGCGGTATATTAGCAGGGGTGCTCGATTACGGAACAAAAAGCGTCATAAAGAATGCTTCCTCTATCTACGTATCGCGCAAATATCATCTAACAAGTGGTATAATGAACACTGCACAACAGTACCCCAAGAAGTGGAAGGTCGCAGAAAGCCTAATCTTAAACGACTCTATGCCATCATTATTTTTGTATTTGTGTAGTTGGAGCAAACATAACGACAACAGAACGACGACGACGCTTTTAAGAAAAGCGAGGCATCATTTTTGTGTTTTTTTTTTGTTTTGTTTTTGTTTTGTTTTGGTTTGTTGTTAAGAGACTGGTCAGTCTTGCGAGATGGGTTTGTGCGTTTTGGAGCGTTCTCGGAGCTCGGTGTTCTCAAACGTTCTTTGACTTCTCGTCCTGCTTTGAGCAATGAGGAAGTCATTCCAGGCAGTTTAGGTTATTTCGAGTAAAGCTAAGCGCTATTCCATTTTCTTCGGGGTGAGTGAGGAAGTTGCACTAGGTCCGGAGGGTTCTGATTTTTGCTGCGGTTCATTTTTGCTTCTTCTTGTATATACGCAAGCTTTCCTTCGCGCACCTCAGCTGGCCGTGCTGTATACTACTATATAAGTGTGCCATTTATTACGTAATAAATAAAAAAAATCCTGTTCCTGAGCCATAATGTACGTCTCGTGGTCTGTTCGAAAATAAGTGTCTGATATGTCGTTTTGTAATAAATAAAATTTAATCTGCAAAAATAAAAATGAAGATATATTTTTTGTAGAAATAGTAGGTTAGTCGGATGCAGCTTCTTTGTTGTGTTTTTTCACTGTTTATAGCTATCAAATATAAAGCTGGAAGAAAACATTGCCGTTGTATCTAAATTGAAATATAATTTAACTGTAGCATATTTTAGTTCAAGTGTTTATCAATGCGATAGCATTAGTATGGTGCTTGGATCGCGCCTCCGACTGGTGTGTTTAGCGTCCTATGCTGCCCATATATCAAAAGTGGTCCCGAAGTTGCAACAAATGACGTCACAGAAGTGACGTCATTTGTTGCCCTAGAGACCCGCTGCTCTCGGGCAGGGGGCGCGAGCGCGTCCGGAAAACGCGATCATGTTATGCTGGCAGCACTATCCAGGCGGCGCTATGACGTTCGATTTTGCACGTGCGACGTTTGAATGCAAGCATTTGTCAGCACCTGTAGACGCGCAATAACAAAACGTCTAAAAAGAGAAAGACTACACTAAAAAAATTATGGTGCTCGTGGACTCAGCGTCCCATTCAGCTTTATTAGTTTATTGCATTCTTTCATAGCTTCCGCAAGCCCGTATGCTTCACTTTACGTGATAGCGAAGCTGAAGCTACTTGCAAAAACATGTTCCCCTGAACGATGCTCGCACTGCACGAGCGCGCGCGCTTGGAAGGAACACTGCAAGCTCGGAGCCCGCTCTTGTAGCCTCTGCTACGCTAGCGGTTGTAATGGAACGGAGTCGAAAAAAGTGTAGCGGGGAAGCGTGATGACGCACGTTCGAAACGCGAGCCAAATATTCTATTTTGCTCGCCTGGAGCGCTGCTCGAAACTTGAGAGCTACGGGCCTAGTGTCATGCTGTTGCCTGTCGCGATCTTGGCGGTTGGCCGCAGAAATGCTGGCGAAAACCACGAGCGAACGCGAGTGTCGCTGTCGTCACGGCGTCCCAGGCGTCCCAACTTCCGGCTGCTGTAGCTTCCGTGGACTGTCACAGTGGAAAGCCACCTGCATCAGAACAAGCGTCAGCCATATACACTAGAACTGTTGGGACGCCGCCAGGATTGCGACCGGCGACAGCATGACACTTCTATGACGTCATCAGGCGGAAAGCAAGGAACCACTTTTTTGGGCGCGGTAAACACACCAGTCGGAGACACGTTCCAGGCTTCGTAGCTTTAATACACACATTGTAGGGAAAAGATGACGGTGTCCGTCTGCGAACAAAGCAGTGGAAAGGAAAACGCGCCGCTCAGAAAGGAGGAGAGTAGGCGACGTCACGGGATGGGAAGCCAATGAGCGAGCAGATGCTTGGGCGAGTCTGAACTTGCAGGTGTGCGGGGCACGTACGCCTTGGTTTGTGCTACAAAATGGAACCAAGTACTGGCGCGGCAAAAACGTTCGAGATCCATTGCTGGATCCTTATTCCTAAGGATCCATCCACCAATGAATCTTCCTTAAACTTTTTTGCGTTCGTCATGAGTTACCATGACCCCTGTGAAACGCCACACACGCCCCCTTTTGGGAAACGCTAACACTGACCCGTAACGAGGCCAAAAAGTGGCATCAAAAAATATAGGGAGCAAAATAGAAAGCCAAACGAGAAAGCCAAAACAGAAACGCGAAGGGTTCAGCGTTAGCCTTTCCCAAAGGGGAACGTGCGTGGCGTTTCCTAAGGGTCACGCTAACGCTTTCCCTAAGGATCCACCAAGGATCTTTCTTTAACATTGGAATACTCTGAAAATAGCTTTGTGCGCAAGAATTGTTTATTTAATGGGATAAATGTTTACGTGTAAACAAACGTTAATTACGCAAACAAGCTTTCCGAAAGACCAAAGAAAGGAGAAGAGGTTGTCTGGGCGATTAAGGATGCACAAGCTCAGGAGATCAGAAGATTAAGCTGTGCAACCTAGGGTTTAACGACAAATTTCTTAATTATTCCGGATATTTATATTATAACAGGTAGCTTACCGGGCTGGTTGGTTGAACAACATAGTGAAAAACAGCGCAAAAAAGACAGTACACAAAGTGGGAACTTTGTGACCCGCCTTTTTTCCGCTGCTTTTTTTTACTATATTTATATTATCTGAGCAAACCCGTCGAAGTTTTAAAAAATTCAACCATTGCACTCTTTGCTTCCTTTCTTCGATACAAACTAAAGAGACGAAATATATCAATGGATAAGGGTAGGTAAAGGAAATCTCCGTTATTTTATTTGAAAACGGTTGAGTGAAAATACTTATTCGAATTCTTGAAAACACCTAACGTATCATCCAGGGTTCAACAACATCCGCGTGAGCAACCGCGTGTTCTGAGTGCAGCGGCGCGACGCTCCAGGGGCATATATGATATTGGTTTTCTTTAATAAGCTGAACCAACAGAAGAAGAATTTGCTCCAGTTTTCGTAAATGGAAGAGTTACGCGGTCTTTTGAAGGTGCCGATAGCCTAGCAAACCCCGGCTGGCATGTCTGGCAATCGGGAAATGGTACGCTCCTTCCGCTATTTTGCGTTCGTCACGCATTGCATACCTCAGCCGTTTCCCGATTAGATAAATCCCCATATTGCGGTACTGCCAAATCCGCAAGCTCTAGTGACCAGAAGTCCCGGCGCCCACTGTCCAAACTATCTCGGAATAAATGACTCCGATTAGTGTCAATTGCTCTAACGCCCACATTCTCCCAGTGTCAGTGGGAATAAGGCAGGTATATGCGGCATTAACTCCAAACCATACTTAGGCGTAACTGCGGTTTAGGATGCCTGTTCGGCACCCTTATCCGTAGCTCAGTCGGACCCTAGTCACACTTAACTGCGGTTAAAGAGGCTTGCGTAACTAGGGTATCATAGTAACTGACACCATAGGAAACGCAAGGAGTGGGGCAAGTTCGCGAAAGAGCAGAAACCCTTTGTTTTTTTAGCTGTCGGTGTCTGTAACTCACTGAAGTACTCATCCGGACGTTTGAACAAGAGCGTTTTGGCAGAAGAGACATCTATCTCATCTGTCGTCGCTTTTGTTCTTCGTTAAAAAAAGAAATGCCGCTATACACAAAGACCGTTCTCCAGTGTTCCCTTTCCCGCGTCTTATTAAAGAGACAACGGAATCTCGGCGGCAATTTACTTCCCCCTCCCCTCCCCTTCTCGCCCCTTTCTAACGACCAGGGCGGTTTTCATTTCATTTGCCCCTAATTTATTGCGACGGCCGCGTGCGGGAGAGCTCTTTAGAGCCCGCCTCATTCACACGCCGCCAAGTCGCACGCAGATATTAAAGGGGCATCTTCGCGACCGGCACCCGCTTTTCCGAGAACTTTCTGCGTGAGTCGGCTTTGAGAATACCCGAGCTCCCAAGTCAAGTGTCAGACTCTGGATCACGTTCCGTGTGAACGGCGCGACTCGCGCGGCTGACAAAATTGGCCGCGGGATCAAAGTGGTCGCTGGGGTAGCTTTCTTTTTCTCTTCTTTTTGACGGACGGCTGGCTACCGTAGTTACCGAAAACGGCACTGCGGTTTCAACAATGGAAACGCGTATTGTTCTGCGCGTAAACTTACCTTTTTACTGCTCGCAATTTATGTGTGCGTGTGTGTTTTTGTCGTACTCATAATTAGGTTTGCGTGTGCGTACAGAATCACCATCACGTGCCTTCGGGAGCTTAGCAAGACGCAAATTTGCTGAAAACTTCCTTCTGAGATTTGCTACATTAACCACGGCTACAATGTTAAGGTGAGTGCCGAAAGGATGGTAGGGAAGCTTGCTCTCGAATAGGAGGATTCGATGTAACACGTGAAAAGAAACGCTTCACCTGTAAATGATAACGTTTTTTTTTTTCCAGCGACAAATTATGATTTTGTTACTTTCATGAGGAAAGAAACAAAATACATATACTTCGCTCTTTAATTTTTTCACTGAGCACCGAAAAGTATATTTAGTTAACCTAATTTATTTTTATATAGACTCGTGCAACACCAACGTTTTTCTTCATCCTAAACTCACAGTGAGTACCTTGCCCGCATCTAGAAACGCCAGAATCTCCAAAGATAAAGTTTCGTGGTGCATAAGTATGTCTCAGCTTCGCTTCGCACATCAATTAATCTAACGTAGAGGTCTCGGGAACAGTACAATTTTATTTGAAGGCTAATTAAATCTGTTCTTCTCCAGACTTGGTAATGAGTAACCAACCTACTTCTTGAACGGCTTGCGCTATTCGGCAAATCTCTTTGTGTAACGTCTACTTGGGTGCTCTATATGTTAATTTGTCATGCGAAACCTGTCGTATTCTAGAAAATGGAGAGCCCATTCCTTTTGAACACCAGGGTTTGTGGTTAAGAAACAGTGGGCCCGAATACAACTTCGGCACTTTTACTTCGTTCACCTTAAAGACCGACGACCAGTTCGTGCTTTGCAATTTTCTTCCGATTCCTCCTCTCCCGTTTTCTACCACGTCCACCGTTGCCTGTTTCCTCCTCCCCCAAGGTGAGGAGGATCTTCTGCCTTGCAGAATCTCGTGTCTGGTCGTCGGCCTTTAAGTACAAACGCAGCCGACGCTACGAGCTGATGGCACCAATCAGAGAACGTCAAAAGCGCGCCATCTTGGTGTTTTTCATGTTTCTGTGCGTGTTTCCTCATCGCTGAATCAATCATAAACCGAAAATACCTAAGGGCTTCTGCTTCTGTTGCTACTTCTTTAGTCCCATAAGCCGTTAGCGTCGCCTGCGTCCGGACTGAAGCTGAAACGAAATATATAGTCTCTGCGACTTGGACACAGAAGTTTTCGTCAGGCCACCAGCTTTACTAATAGCGTTGGTGCCGCTCGTGAGCCTATTCCTCTGTGCTCGTTTCTACAGCTTATAAACAACAGAGCTAGATTAGATTTTTTTATAAGAAATAGCTAAACACTTCTATCTAAAAGCTTACAAACGAAACCTAAATGCTACCGATTTTTGATTACCCTCCGTCGCCCTCTTTACATGATGATACATATACGCGTATTCAAATTTTAGATTCTCCCGTATACTTGAGCATCAAGGTCAAAGCTGAAGACAAACGGCTGAAGCTGGAGTTTTGGGGTTCTGATCTAACAGCCTTCCCGACCCGCCAAATACCGGGTGACCTTTCAGCTGCTGCACACAATTTATGCAAAGCGCCACGAGCAATAGCGCACATGCAAAAGTATAAGTGCAGATACTCACTTCGTATCGGGACAGCGCTGTCCTCTGCATTACATGTGACAACCACCAAATGGTTGCTGGACTTTTTTTAAGGTTGCTGGATTTTTTAAGGCGGGACCATAGTAGCATACAGTTAAAAGCAGAAGAAAAAAAAGTTATATCCGCGTTTAATAGTGTGACCTTCCTTATGACCTGTTGCTTTTAATCAATCGCCAAGCCCTAAAGTATTACTAATGACAAATACTGCTGAAAGTGACAAATTTCCTAAAATCTTACAGTTTTTTTTTTTTTTTTTGAAGGACGAGTATGTTGATAATAATTTGACACGTCTGTATAATTTAGAAACAAGAACTGAAGTTTGCTTACTTTGCCAACGACACTTTGCTTATATTTCGAAATTAAAAGTGTTAAGAACATCATGTTTAAATGTTGTATTCCGGTTGTCAGAAAAAAAATATTTAAAAAAAAACGAAGAGGTAGGTTTTTAATTATCTTAAAAGAACTGTGAGATTATTTTAAGTGGTCCCTTGCTTTTAATAATTTTATCAGGAATAATGAAAACTCTTAAATATATATTATATGTATATATACATATTTTATTAATTACGTTTACGAGGCCACATGCAGCAATTCGACTTGCCTAACTACTACGGTGATGTGCTCATATCTCTCTAATCAATATGTAACTTGTTAGTAACTATATTTGCCTATTTTTCGCGAAGTACATATTACTCGACAAACGTATCCATCTCTATCAAGATTCCTGTATACCAACATATATTGAGTCTGTGGGCAGACACTCAGTGTGACTGTGTACGCTATGAAGTGTAACGTTTTATTAAAAATCTAAAACTCCCCGGCACACATTCTCGTCTCTTGCGCTTCTTAAAAGAGCAAAGAAAAACACCTCGCGTTACAAAACACCCTCAACTCTCTTCCGCGCTGCCGGTGGGCCCGGTGGCTTTGCAGCACCGGCGTGTTTACGAACGGAAGACCACACGTCCTCCCGTGAGGCTTCTCAAAGTTAGATTTGCCGTGAAACTCTTCCACCTCACACCGGACACCCTGTCTTTCAAAAGCTTCCGTCAGCTTCTGACCTGCCGAAAAGCAGGAAGCACCGCCAGAACCCGCTGTTTTCCGAGGCATTCGCTTTGCGCGTGGGCAGCATGTGTGAGTGCGTGTGTGCGTGTGGCTGGCGTGTGCACGATCGCGTACACGCGGTTACTCGCCCGAACGGACAAGCGTCTGACGTCCGTGAGGCCACACGCGATCTAACCTATCAGGGTGCACTATATAGGGCGCGACGCCTCTCGATTCCGCTCCGCCGGTATCGTGCGAGCCCAACTCTGCGCCGCCTAAAGAGGCAAGTGAAACCGCGAAAGAAAAAGAAAGGCAGAAAGGAAAATACAGAAGAGGACTTGTCAGGTTGGAAGTGTGTTGTCATCGTTGAATAACCCCGTCCATACCGATATATGAAGGAAGCGCTCCGTTGCGCGTCTATCTTCCTTCGGGTTGTCGGCCCTCCATCTATCGTGCGCCGAGGTTGGTTCGTCTTTAACGAGTTTTTGCGAAATAAGAGCGTGTTGCGACGGCACGTAATTGAACCGGGAGTGTGGTAAGGTCACTATCAAGTCATACTGAACGTTGCGATGCTTTTTTTTCTTTTTTTTCGTTTTATGCTTCCTTTTTTTTTCCGGATGGCTCAAATGGTCCTTCTTAAAAAAGACATCTGCGTTCCAGGATAAGCGTAGTTGTATTATCCTGGCCTCGTTTCTGACAGCGCTTAGGGCGGAAAGCGATTGCTTTTGAGTGAGAAGTATGACGATTCTTTTCTTCGAGATCTCGCTCCGCTTCATGCCGGGACAACCGAGCGTCCTCAAGAGTCCCTGAAGATAGCGTCCCCTTTTCTGGGCTGACCGCTCCACTCGACGTATTTTAAGCTCCCATTCGCAACAGAACCTATTTCGGGGTATGGACTGAGCCGTTTATAAATTCTACGTTTGATAATTTCTTAACTATACAAGCAAACTCGCTAGTGGTCACCAACGGGACCGACAATCTTCGAATTATCCTCGTAATATGTATGATGAATGTATGGCATGCACCTACAATCGGCGATGTGTTCGGTTTTCAGCACCTGAATCCATGATGGGTCATTGGAATAGGATATGCTGGGGTGGTTGTTTCTTTTAAATATTCTTTCGAAGGTTGCTGGTCGGATTAACGGTAGTTATTGATTCATCTATGACTGGCTGTTATTAGGCATTGGAACTTATGTACTCTTTGGGAAAATAAAAGGTCGAGGTATTTAGAGAAGAAGTGTCTAATCACAGGGTAGTTCAATACAGATAAATAATATTTATTGCACAGAATATTACAAAACACGCACGGAGCAACACACGGACACGCACACGCAGCCACACAAATTTTAAGGAACAGATCAAGCTCACATATACAACGCGCACCATCCATGCATACATATGAGCAAAAACTCGCAACATACCACACAATTTGACGTCAATTGAGTATGCACGTTCTTTCTCGACGAGAAAGCAGACTGAGTATTACACAACAGATGATGCCATTCCCTAATGGTTTTGCTGACTGACACGTGCCGCCACACTGAAAGCAGAATGCACAAAGCGAAGAGGACCTCCCATAAGTTCCCGAATCATAAAACATGAACGAAAACAAGCATACGAATTTACACATTGCACACGAAACGTGACCTCTCATCTCGCTCGGCCTACGAGATGCGGAGACAAGTTACTTCAAAAAGCGACATCCCAAAAAGACACAACCAAGATACGTATAATTCCGAAGGCAAAGGACTCCGTCGCTCTCGATCCGGGGAAGGAGAGAAGCAACGTGCCAGACTCGGAAAGGAGTCCTCGAGAACGCGCTTCTTCGATGAACGAGTCCAGGATAGACTTCGTCCAGGAAGAGGCGTCGAGAGGATGGGCTCCTGTTAGGACTTAGGGGGAAGCTTTTGCGAGGAGCGATCACAGTTCCACCAAGCAAGTTCTGAAACAAACACACACTCACACACGCACGGCGATTTCTCTCTAGAAACACCGAAGCCGAAAGAGATTTTGGGACAGATGTTTCACAGGGTCATCTAGTACTTCCAGGGGCCGCCGCCACCGCCGCCACCGCCGCCACCGCTGTACCGGGTGGGTGGTGGTGCGTATCCGCCGGATCCACCGCTGTATCCACCTCCGCCTCCGTGGTGGCCGCCACCGTAGCCGCCGGCGCCTCCGCCGCCACCTCCGTGGTGGCCACCTCCACCGCCACCGCCGTGGTGTCCGCCGCCGGCACCGGCGTACTGGCTCACGACTCCGGCCGGTGGCGGTTCGACGATGAACTCGGCGTCGGCGGGGCTGGCGGGTCCGACTCCCGGCTCGTTGGTTTTGACGGTGGCGCGGAATCCGTTGGCATCGGCCACGTAGCTGACCTGTCGGTAGATGCCGTTGGTGTCGGTGTAGCCGTAGCTGCCCTTGACGGTGCCGCTGCCATCGCCGCTCTCCTGGCGGCTCTGGCTGTTGCCGTACTCGTCCTTGACGTCGTAGCCGAACTCGTATGGCGTAGGGCGATCCTGCGAAAAGGCGGTATCAGGGAAGCGAAGACCTGTCTTGTGAACAAACAGTTCTGCGCTCGTTTGTTAGCGCGCCCACACGACCATGCAGTGCCTACGCTATCCGCCTGAATAATTAAAATAAAGTAATCTATAATATGTACTTAAAGTATACAAATGAAAAAAAAAAAACACATTACTGTTTTAGAAACATGTCGATTTTTGTCGGCTTACACTGTGGCTTCGTCACTGTTGGTTTGAGAAAGACTTTTGGTGTTTTTTTTTAACTTGCGTCAGCACTTACGCCTGTACTAAAACAACCCTATGGAGCTTTGAGTCCGTTACTCTATCAATACCTTTGGTTTTTGCGAGAGGTATATTACCCTTGTAAGCCATAGATATCTATAAGTTGTAGCTATCTATGACCAAGCTTGGAATGACTATGTTCTACAGCCTTTGACTTCAGAGCTAAACCCAGGAGAAATAAATGAAGCGCTTACGTATCCACCGCCGCCTCCACCGCCGCCGTATCCACCACCTCCGCCGCCGTATCCACCACCGCCGCCGCCACCGCCATGATGACCGCCTCCTCCGCCGCCATGGTGACCACCGAAGCCTCCTCCACCGCTTAGGCCCCCTCCTCCGAAGCCACCCTTGCCTCCGCCGTATCCTCCCGCACCACCGGTACCGCCGTACCCACCCGTGCCGCCGTAGCCACCGGCGCCGCCGGTGCCGCCGTAGCCTCCACCTCCTCCGTGGTGACCACCCCCTCCTCCTCCTCCGTGGTGACCGCCGGCGCCTCCACCGTAGCCTCCACCGCGGTTCGCACCGAAAGTGGTCGCCACCAGAAGGCTCAAACAAAGCCCCTGCGTGTTCAAGAGAGACCGAGAGTCAGACCTTTTAGCCCTATGAGTAAAGCTCCCTTGGGTTTCAGGTCAGTTGCCCCCTTCTTGATAAAAGACAATGAGTGGGAGAGCGAGCTGGTGATAGTAAATTATATGATTTAAAAGTCGAATCTTTGAAGAGAAGAAGAGAAACAATCAAGTTGAAAAAAATGTCAAAGTAAAAAATAACGTGACTATTTGTTAGAAACAGCCATGGTCTGAGGAACTAAGGAAAGACAACGGAAGAAACCCAGCTGGACGTTCTCTACTTGAATGTCGGTTTAGGCTGTGCCAGATCGTCGATGCTGAAACCTGTGCTCCGTAGCGCTGGGTGATAGGACTGAGATGTGGCTTAACTGATCTCCATAAACGCAATGCGAACCGAATTATTTAGGCACAAAGGAAAGCAAAATATTTTCTTATCTTGTGTTTATCCTCGTTCAGATTACGTCTGTCCTTCCTTCCATATAATAAACTCTTCGGGTAGTGAAATGAGTTTGTCATTGACCTCCGACTACATAAATGACAAGGAATATACCACATGTGGCTGCTAAAGTCAATTAGAGCTGAAAAATGGCAAGGCGCGAACCGGCACTAGCGATAATCTTATCACTGAACGACCGATATAATAACAGATTCGCGACCTCAGAACTATCTAAAAGTGAATCCTAAGTGCCGAGTGCCATCACAATTAGCCTCGCCTTCTCATTAAATATTTAACAAAAAGACAAATTGATCTACGACTACGAAACAAATCAGTGTCGACAAAAAGTACAAACTAATCTCTCATAATCTTTAACGTATAATGATAGTAACATCCTTTTCTTCCTTAAGCAAGCATCACAAATCTAAAGATCGACACGTTGAGAAATCAAGCGAGCTAATAGTCAGCCTCTTTCAAACGAGGAACTCAAAACATTTATAATGCGCTGCTGCGTCTTAACTTCCAGCAATTCGAAAAGCTTCGGAATAACTTCCGTAACCCTCATACACAGAATGAAAAAGGTGCCAGCCCTCGGGCCCGATATTCCTTTCCTTTGAACGAAGTCTCATCTCTTCATTGCTACGCAATTCCTATCCAGTCCCCATGACGACTAAGTTAAAAAAAAAAAAAAAAAAAAAAGTTTGCTTTCATATATTTATTTCTTGTGTTCGGTGCTCTTTCCATCGGTGACTGCAGTCGCATTCGCAGTCCCCACCCTCCCCCCATAGACGTACGCGACACCGCCTAAGTGATGAAATGTTGCGTCACACGGCAATTGCTGTCCCAGGAAGATTCGTCGTTATAGCTGTAAGCTTTTATACAAAAAAAAAAAAAAAGTTCTACCCTCTTACAAAATTCATTATTACGTGAGATAACCGCGACCCTGACACTACCCGCTTACACAATCCGTAAATCGCATTTTCTAATCTCTTTACGAAGAGTGGCGAACCCTTCGAAGCATTGGATCAACAAAAACGGGCAGCTGCAAAACTCCATCCATCATCTCCCTTAAATAAATGCCTTGGCGACAATTCTTTGAATCGTTTCTTACATTTGACTGGACAATCCTATTTAATATTCTCGCAGACTCATCGCCCTGATGATAGAGAGTTGGTTCGAGTATCCCTACGCGCTACAGTCCCGAAAACCAGATACGGCGTGTGAGCGATTTAAGACGGATTGGATAAGAATGAGCAGTGGGACTTGTTAATGACCGCTGAAGCCTCTGCCATTCTTCCTGGAGGACGACCTTCTTTCTGCCTGGGTCACCGTCTACTTACGCGGAATTAAGCTTTATTTTGGGGTCGGGGAAAGCAACAAACACTGAAATAAGCGACCCGCTAGACACCCGCAGCCCTTCCGGGGGAGAGCGGCCTAAGGACCCAGAAATAGAAGGAAGAAAAAAATTGCTCACGGCAGCGCTTTCTTTCTGCTGTAATTAAGGTGAAGCCTCCTAAAAAAAAACGTAAGGGGAATCGGATGGTCAGTTAGTCACAAAGCGTTTTTAAAAATACGCCATATTTTTTTTTTCTTTTAGGCTCCCATACTGCGTTCACCCTTAGAGTGACAGTGCCGTGGGAGCTACGCACCGCGGGACAAATCAACCGTCTCCCTTTGAATCCGTGACCCCTCTCTCTGCGCGTGGTTGTGGTGAGGAGCGTGATCACGTGACGAAAGATAGACATGCGACGTGTCTAACCAGCTCGTAGGCTCCACGGCGCTGTCAGGTCAGGCGTGAACAGAGCATTGCTTGATCCGGGAAGTAAGTTAGGAAGCAGGGATGGGGATCAGCGCCGGAAATGCGTGATATCTGCTACTCCGAGGGTTCCGAACAACTACGGTTGTCGTGAGTCGAGAGGGGCGAGGGGGGGGGGGGGGGGGGACGCCACGAGCTGGCGAACGAGTTGGCCACCGGGCAGAACGCCCACATAAGGCGCCCGGAGGATACAAATTTAGACACGACAATGTCCGACGTTTTGGGAAGTTATGGTCCGATTGTTTCTCCCTGCCGATGTCGTCCATAATCGCTGCCGGCAGCGGCTGCCTCGTGAAAACGGTTCCGTTCTCCAAACCTGTCGCGTTTTGTTTCTGCGTTTTCCTTTCATATATATATCTATTGGAATGCCAGCTTTTGCGCTGGTAGATAACCCCGTTCCTATATATTGTAAATCGACTAAATGATGATCGTGCTGAACCGATCTATTCTGCCGACTATAATTTAAGTTTCCGGTTCGTCAGTGCCGAACTTGTTCTTCGGTCTAGGGTGAATATGAAAGGTCGATTCGGTGCCGATTCATTTAAAGCTCTCAGTAGTATTTTATATTTGAAAGGATTTGTATGATATTATGATGCCCAGAAGTAGATACTCACGCCATTAATTAGAATTTTGAATATAGAGCGCAGAACAAAGTTTTATGGCTAAAAAGGGTAAACCCGTTTCAGTAAAATTTTGATTTAAATTTTGACGCGTACATAGTTAAAAAAAAAACGTAGGAACACATAACGTGCTACTTACTTACGTTCTGTCTTCTTTTATTTGGGATTGGTGGCCTTGTGAGCTAGCGCACACCAGTTCGGAGCACGTGGGGCGAAAGCTCGCGCTGGAGAACCCAGGGATCCCGTGTTCAATCCCCATCCCTGCCTGTTTCGATCTGGATGAGCATCGTACCGGTGTGCGGTCGTGTATCACCACTGCTTGGTGCATGTTAAAGACCCCAGGCTAGCGGTTGTACCGCTCTGGCTGAATTGCTCATCTAGAGCGAGAGACTCGTCGCAACTTTGAAATGACGGACCAACTACACGCTGCGTAAATATCCACACAACCCTAATTTTTTGTTGTCTTTTTTATCGCGCGTGCATAAATGCACCAATCCGTGTTTTGTTTTTGTTTTCTTTTGGGGGGGAGGGGGGCTGTTTGTTCTTTTTTTTATACAAATCGTAAGATGATTTATTGAAGTTCGAGTGCCTGAATCACCATGAAGGCTACGGACTCATTTATTGTAGCATTTTGAGTGGCCAGAGTGAATAGTGAAACGTAGGAGTGACACAGCCAATCTCAGTTTTGCAACAGCAGTGAAACATATTCTGCCTTTAATGGCGCTGGCTGTGTGCGTCAACTACGCTCTAGCACTACGGGTAACACCAGCGTCAAATAGACGAACTTAACTTTGCTGTGTCTTTTTTTCTAGCCCTATTTCTGCATATAATTATTCACAACATCGCCCAGGCCTTCATAATAAGCTGCTCAACTCTATCACGCGACAGTAAACTAAAGCTACTGAGAATAATATATTTGTAAGAGTGCTCATACACTAAAGGGGTAAAAACTGCCCAAATGTGTTCTTTATGGCCCAGAAAAAGAAAAAAAAAAAGACATTCTCGTAAATTTATATCGTATCATAATGATATTCTGTCTAGAGTGAAACACCTTTACAATATAGAAGAACACATTTAACTATCGTATAACTGGATCATTAAAAATAATGTATATTTTCTAAATAAAAAAGTGCTAAACTAATAGCCGCATGTAAAACAGTGAGGGGAATCAACATTCGATAAAGAATGCCAGTTATCAAAAGTTTGTGTTTTGCATCTCGTTTTTCTTTGTGCTTTAGAAAGTGCTGCATAGTTCAAATCAGCCAACCCCAATAGAAAGTAAGATAGGGGGATTCATATCTGTTAATATCTAAAATTTGTTATGAATAAATATAGCTAGTAATTAGATTTTGCACAAATATCGTGCTGTTTATACTTTTCAGCTTAAATGTTTGTATGAAGTGAACTTATGCTTATTTTTTAGAGGAATCTAATATTTCGTCCGTCTAAAAAAAATATTAATGAAAGGACTGTAAAACGTGTCACCAGAGAGCGTGAAATGGGGAAAAATTAGTTTGGAACATTATATTGTTAGGAATTCATTTATGGGAATGCATTTATGGGAAACGCCAGTTATCAAAATCTTGTGCTTTGCATCTCGGTTACCTTTATGCTTTAGAAAGTGCTCATTACATAGTTCAAATCAGCCAAGCCCCATAGGAAGTAAGGTAGGTGAAGTCATATCTGTTAATATCTAATATTGTATATGAGTAAATATGACTAGGAATTAGATTCTGCACAAATAGCGTGCTGCGTATACTTTCAGCTTAAAATTTTGTACGAGGTAAACTTATGGTTATTTTTTAGAGGAATCTAATAATTTGTCCGTCTAAAAAAAATATTAATGAAAGGACTGTGAAAGGTGTCATCAGAGGGCGTGGAATGGGAAAAAATTAGTTTGGAACATTATAATGTTAGGAATGCATTTATACAAATTTAAATACTAACCTCGCTTTGTGGTTAACGTATCCACCATGAAGTAACACCTGAGAATGGGGTGCGGAAAAATTAAGACACTTTTAAGTCGAAAAAAAAGGTCACAGTAGGATAACGTCTTATACGTCCTTGTAATAACTCCTATTGTTATTTTTCTTCGACTTAAAAGTTTCTTGATTTTCCCGCACCACAGTCTCAGGTATTACTTCTGATTAATTATCATCAGCTCGCATCCACGCTCACTGTCATTTTGTTACGCGCATCCACCCGGTTCAGAGAATTTCAACTCAAACCTGAATTTTGTAATAAACCTATATTTTCACATCCCTTTTTCTGGTGCCATGCCAAATGTAGAAGAGAACAAGCACACATCTTAATTTTACTCTGAGAGGATCTAGATTAAACTAAACCATATAAAGTTTTCAGTTATCCAGTTTCAAATGTCTTAAATGCATTGTCGCCTTTACATTAGTGAGCCCACATTCTAGTAGTGGCCTTCCAAGCTGTAGCAGTAAAGACGAAACATAACGAATTGATTTTCCGTGAGTTTTTTTTCTTTGTTCTTATTGGCCGGTATTGAGTATCACTGTGAATAATGCACCCAAGATTCATGAAGCCAACCGCACCATTGAATATTATATTTTCCTTCATTGTTTTTGCTAATAATTGAAATCCTGCAGTGAATATTTCCCCACGACACCTCTACGCCATAAATCGGCGTTAAATATTTTGTTGCCCAGAATTCTTTCTTCAATTGGTTAAAACTTATATTACTGCCCATTAACATGCCAGGATTTTCTAGGTTCCTATCCCCTCTAATTTTATGCATAGACAGAAGAGGATTTACACCATTTCTAATGTGGCACACTACTCTGGCGCGTGCGCTAAAATTTACGCACGCTCTTAAAAACGATCGAACGTTGTCTTCGAAGCCAAGCACACAAAGAGGCAATCCCAAAAGTTTCCGACCGATGATTTGCAAAAAAAAAAAAACAGAGCAAATCAAAAGGGTTCATTAAATTGTAACGCAGTCCAGCAAACTGAGCGCGTAAATTGTATCAGCTTCAAACGTCACTGGACTTCTCCATGAATCATAGAAATTGTGTCTTTGGTGCTTGACCATAAAATCAACCTTTTGAACATTTCTGAAGCTGTATCGATGCGCAGGATTGCCAGCTGGTCGAGTAGTAATCCTTGGGTTGGAGCTGACGAGATCCTGCGTAAAATTGACGGTCGCGTTATATTTTCATAATCGACTATCTATTGCAGCATTCTCTAAAATCATTGGCTATTTTGTGGATAGCGCACACATGCGTTAAAGCAATAAAGCATGACAGAGCTGAAACTGTGGACAGAATTTGGGAGCTTGCTCCTTTGCATAATTTAATAATGCGCCTATACATATCATCGTGGCGTCACAGTTATATAGAGAACTCACAGGTATCATAACTTTTTCTTGGAAACTAAGGCTAACCCTTTCATTAAAACCCACTCCAAGATCATCGCCGCAAATATTTAAATGAACCTTCGAATATTCTGATCTCCAAATGAATCATACAAGTGACCTCTGCAGTTATAATCCGCAGATTCGTATAAGACGCAACACTTCCTTCAAGTCCCCCACAAGCTCGCAGCGGGCGCATCAAGCATAGCATCCAGAGGTCCGAACTCGGGTCGGGGTCCTTCGACGTCGACGCCGCCTTACCTTAACCAACATGGTTCCAGGCGTCGCGTCTGTGCAGGAATGCGGAAAGTCCGTGCAAGTTGGGAGAAAACGTCGCTGCCCGCTGCTTCTAGGAAAGCTCAGTGTCGAATACGCCGAGTCCCGAAGGAAGACACCTGTTCAAGAGGACGCCTGCTCTTGCAGTGATGCTCCTGGCCCGCTGCCTCAGCGTTTATATACCACCGCCGAGAGGTCCGGCCCGGACCGCGTGCCGCTCGCCGTTACACTTTCACCCTCTCCCACCGAGACATCCGTCCATCCGACCGGGGGATGCCTCACCGGCGGGTGAAGAACAACAACAGTAAAAGACAACCACCACAACCGCAACGAGACGCCAAGAGCAAGAAAGAGAAAGCCCCCCACGTTAGAAGGGAGGATGCTGAGGGAGGGAAAGGGGGGAGGGGGGGTGCCGCTGAATAATATCGAAATTCAGGACAGCCCCGTGGACGAAAGCGAAAATAATGGGCCACGAATGAGAGGTGGACGAGCCGCGGAGATGAGAGGGTTGAGAGGGGAGAGCGGCTTCCCTTCGCCGACCGTGATGGGCTTGGTGGCTTCTCTCTTTCTTTCTCGCCCTGTTCCTTTCACTTTCTTTCCTGGTGGGGCACAACATCGTTGTCGTACCCTTTCGCGGGGGGTCTGCACCTCCGGAAGATCCCTTTCGTCCTCTGGTTCTCCAAAAAAGCTCTCTCACCACGAAAAAAAAAAAAAAAAAGCGCACAGGACCTCGACAGCGGGAGTTCTGTCTTTTGTGAAAAGTGATCGGGAGTGCGGGTTTTAGGCCTCAGAAACACAAGGGTCTTCTTAAATTCTTCAAACTGATCTAGAATTTTTAGAAAGGTTATAAGTAGAGCCTGGCTTATCTAAACTATTTTTCTTTTTAGAGAGACAGACCGAGCTTGAACATCCGCTGTCCTTTGCATCGGGTAGTTCTCAAAAACAAAACGGACGAGAGGAGCACCAACATCTGTTTGTCTATTCTTCAGTGGAGATGGCCACGCAGTCATGCCGTTCAAGCGACACTCTTTGGGGGCAGCAGGCAACAAGGAGCTTCAGATCTTGCCCAATCACAATTTATGGCTGTGTATGTAACTTGCAAGCGGTATTCCAATTCCAACTTTTATACTACGCGTAAGACCGATGACAAGTTTTCGGACCTATTTCGGTATATCATGGAATCACTTAATTTAACATTTTTTTTTTCTAACTTCCGCGGCATAATGACGAATTTCGAGAAATAGAGTTATGTGCGACTGTATAATTTCAAGACAATTACTTGCTAGAGGAAAGTTTTCCAAAACTTTAGGTTAAAGGAACTGTGTTTCTATCGACGGCTGTAAGCAGCAATTCACAGAGACACTCGTCTTAAAAAGGCATCACTGTGCAATCGCATTTTTGTATTAATTTAAACCTGAGACTTAATTCAATAAGATTTAAGCACCCTCGTATTGACCCTGTATGTCTGGACCCGTCAAATGTCATTGTTGTCGGCGTTCTTTGAGCCGTGTCAAGTAAGCTCCCTCGTTCTTTTTTTTTTTTTTGCTTGTTTTGTTTTGAGGATAATACTTTACACAGTCATGCTTCTAAAAGCTTGGAATTATTAGCGACGCTGTGAAACTAAAAAAAAAACCAAAAAAACTGCAGGACACATACTTGCTTGCCACGCTTGTACGAAAAACTTGCGACACAACCACGTTGGAGACTTGACAGACAGCATTATAAATATCCGTCACTCGCTTCTTTTTCAGAGCGCGGGCCGATGTCGCGTGAAATCGGACTTGCAAATTGCAGTACAAAGTCGGCGAAATGCGTGTCGGACACCCAGAAGAAAATAAAAAAAATATAAGAGTCAGCGTACGGAAAGCTTTGTATTAGGGCATCACACCGTAGGAGACTGGGCGTGTCCAAACCGTCCTTTTCTGAAGAATTCAAAATGCGTTCGCCGATTCTGTCATCCTTCCTTTGATCCTAACCTCTAGGCGAGGTATTCAGAACCAAAATAACAGAAACTGGTCGCTAGGAACCTCTTCCTCTTCAAGCTTGGGATCCTCGACGTGTTCTCCGTGTTCGCTCCGCATTCTTCACATCCAGATTTGGCTGACACAAAACCGTCACGTCCTCTGAACCTTGACCGGTTTCTGTGGTTTCAAAGCAAACAAATAAATACAATAGCCCAAAGTAAAACAAAAACTGTGCGCTGAGAAAAAAGAAGGTAAGCGACCCTCGACGCCGCAATTGTCAAAATCGGAAGAGCGTGCGCCGCCGAACACACAATCAGCGGGATTGGCAACTGCAGCGGAAGGAAGAGAGAAAGGAAAGACAGGAAGGACAAGCACCACTAAAGGATGCGCCTCTTTAATTGCATAATTTGGGGGGCTAACCCCTTTCTTCGTTTAATGATCGTCCGCTACGTGGCAGGAAATCCCGGCGTTTTGGCCGTTCCCATCCATGCTCTTGTTTCTTCGCGGCTGTAGGCCCCGGGGCAAGGATATTGGCGTTGCTCTTTGGAAGAAGGTTGTGCACATAAAATGACTCAAGGACGCTCCGAGGGTTCTTCGGACTGACACACTCCTCGGCGATCGTTCGTCTTCGGAACGTCGTCTGTCGGCTCTCGACAGGAGTCGGGGCCCTTGAGTGCCTCCGGGGGGAATGTAAATAGCTGTGTCATTCGCATAATGACGAATGACAGCTGGCATGTAGTGTGACGCTTGGGAGGTTCGGCTCGGGCATAGAATGTCGCTCCGTTTTTTTTTTTTTTTTTTTTTTTCTCTTTTTAAATGCAATTACCATTGCCTTCGTGGCTTGACTATGGTGGAGGTCGCTTAAGAAATTAGAACTGAGAGTCAATGAGATGTGCCGTACTCAATTGCGTGTGGTTCGCCGTTAATCATGTTTGGTTCTGTGGGAGTTATTGCGATCGAACGAGTGCGTGTGACGGACGAGCATATCCGGATTCCTTTAGTGCCTTGAGAAATGCGCTAAAAACCGTTTGTGTGCGTGTTTTTTTTTTTTCTGACAAGTAGATTTGCAGGTAATGACGATATATATCAATTAGCAACGTGAATTGTAAACCTGCGTATTTGTTGAGGTTTTGGTGTTAGTAATGTGCAATAGCTAATAATAAAGTTACTTTATTGCGTGGAACAGTGTAAACTGGATGCCTGTTTAAGGTTGCAGGTATTGTATTGCGCAAGGCAAATAAAAAAGTGAAAAGAAATTAGATCCTCAGGAATAGATTTAATAACACGCGATGCACTTTCCCTTCAAGTCAATATAATTCCCAATATTCCTAACCCTTGTTTTTGTGTATATGTGTGTACGTGTGTGTCTAAACCGCCCCCCCCCCCCTCAAACCACACACACACACACGCAGCCAAATGCCTCGTCGTTCTTAAACAAGCCAACATATCAAGAACTTTCAGAGATTAAAAAAATCCAGATTGATGTTTTGCGTTTATATTTATTGATTACCTCATTAAGAGGGTTGCAAGGTCAATGCCACATAACTTGTGTTTGGTAACAAAAAAGCTTTAATTCCCAAATTGGCAGCTACTATTGAACAATTAAAGTTAAAACTAGCCTGAGACGTCTACAGTTTCTTACGGCACATTATCATCCATCCAACGTACAAATGGTAACATGTAGGCATAATTCAAAATATGGAGTTTTTAAAGCATGCTGCAAAGTATTAAATGAGTATATGTCCGCATCTCACTCGTTCTCCTAGACGGAATGGGGAATGATAGTAGAGGCATCTTTTATTACGCATGTAGTACCGCTACATAATTAAAGTATTTATGAATTGCCTATGTGAGTCGTTCTAATGTGAACCACTTACACCTGTGGTCCACATTAGAAAGATCCCACATCATAATATGATTGTATAAAAAAATTTAACCGGCAAGACCCAGAAGCAACAATTGTTCATGCTAACTATGTTGTGTACGCTCTATTAGTGGCGAGATGTTTTGGTGGCGCCCTCCTATGGTTTCCTCTCGTGACGTCATTAATTTACGATCAACAAGTTCGACGGTGTTTATAATTAGGATGGTGGAAACTTGAGATCATTGCGCTTTGAAACCAACACTGCCAACACCGTCAAAATTGAAGTTCTTACATTACTCTTATTTGTTATTTCTGTCTATGAGAAAACCTTTGTTGACGTCATAGTCAGCATTCGGCCAATCGTGGAAGGCCGACCACAGCGACATGTCTGATAGCACGTCGCCAATACTCAGCGTGACTCCAACCTAGCAATTTAAATGCATGCATAACAAAGACTATCGTCGGTGTTTAAATTTGGTCCACCTTCTTTCGCTCCGTGGATTAAAAATAGTGTTAAAGGCGAGTTTTGCGGGTCAGTAAACATTGAACATACAAAAAGAGTGAGCTTCGGTCGTATGTTTGGTAATTAAAGGCGAAAACCGACCGCTCCTGAGGGCTTTCAAATCAATTAGTGGTTTAGTAGCCTGCCGGACAGAGATAATATCGGCTCTTCATAAACACAAGCCCTAAGCCCACGCTAATTAAAAGGGAGAAAACGATTAGGTTAGCCAAGGTTTATGTTAATAAGGCACTCCGTAGGTAACGTTGTGCGTCTGAACGATAAAAGACGAAAAATAATACATTAAAAGGGCACGTAAACCGTGAGTTTTAGTATTGCGTATGGGAGCAAAGGCAAGCCCCGTGCGTTTGCAACACCTTTGCTTGGTCCACACTGCGCATGCACGGAGCCAAAAAAGCTGCTGTCTCGAATTGGCGGATGGTGACGACGCACGTGCACAGCGAGGAGCACACAAAGCTAACGGAAAAGCACAGCGCTTGCGTTGGCTCGTACGCTCTTAAAAAAAAAGCTGTATTCTTACAGCTTTTGTCCAATACATGAAACCCTAAAACTTCAGTTCGACGTACAGTGTAGCGGCTTCGATCTGACGGTACTAACTTTCACGAGAGGCTTGATAGCAGTGTGGTACAACTTATTAGAATAGCTAATGTACGTGTTACTAAATACAAAAAAAAGGGGTTTGCTTGGTCCTATTGCAAAACGTCAGTATTTCCTTTCTGTGGTTTTTGATACGTACTTTAGCTATTTAATAAGTTATATCGCACCGTTATCAAGCCCTTCGTAAAATTTGGGGCCGTCTGTTCGACTATATTGCGCTGTACGTTGAACTGAAGTTTGGGGGTGCATTCTGTGGACAAAAGGGTTTAAGGTGATACTTTTTTTTTTTTTTTAGAGTGCATGTGCTATACTACAACTCTCTAATAACTCCAAAAGTGGAACGTTCATCAGCCGTTACCCGTTAAGACAAGAAGGGAGTTGCCTCTAGTCAATACGTTATCATCCACAACTGATACGGAATAAGCGGACAGAAAGACTACATGAATTGCTGCGATGTCTTAACCAGCTATTTACTACACAAAGTTTGTATCAGATGTTTACAGCGCAAATTCTCGGAAAATTACACTGAGTT